GGACCCTTGGGGCTCCTCCGGATCTCAACCCACAATGGACACCTTCACAAGGCCAAATCCTTAACCTGAAATCAATTCCATGCTTTTGTGGGAATAAAACATTGCAGCTGGTGCCAGGTATCACCAAAATATTAATCAGGGACAACAGAAGCGCCATATAGATATTTAGTAACAACCACTAAATTGTAGTGTAGCAGCAAATACCACAACCTCTCGATACATTTCCTTCTCTAAAGGAATCCCATAATAAGTATTAAATTTATTAAATCAGCTCACAGCCATTTCTTTTTTTCATAGCATAGGAATTAGGATCAGGTTTGAAACTTGCAACCCACTTGCTCTTTACAGTTCTGGTCACAGTCCTGCTCCTTCCAGGAAAGGGTTTTCTGCAAAAATCTTCAGAAAGGTGAGACAATATTATTTAAATAAGTTTCTTGAATGCATATCGATAGAAGTTATATCCTACGGAGGACTCTTGGAACCAGACTGGAAACAACTGTCTCATGATGGAATACTGAAACAGAAACCAAGGAGAAGAAAGAGTTATATAAAACAATTTTAGAAAAGTTCAACGGAGGCAATGCTCTCCGCTACCTCCCACCCAATCTCATCCCTCGTTTGCTTATCAGTTTGGAAATTCCCTTTTATCCTCTTGCTTGATAACTTTGGAAATTTCTCACTTGCTTTTACATGTTAGAGGGAGAAGGATTTCCGAACTTCAAGTCAGTAAGAAAGGAGGGGCGGATTTAAAAAGTTATTTTAATGTAGTTCAAGACTATTGCATCCAGGAAAAGTCCCTTTTCTTGTCTGCAGCCCAGATACTCCTAAGAATTCCCTGGCAATTGTAGCTCACTCCTTTGGGCTACAACAGTAGAATATTTTAGGTGAGAATTTGGAATCCCTCCCTGAATTACAAATCCCAGCACTAGGCAGCAATTCAACTGTGTAGGCAGACAAATCACCCTAAAATCTCAAGTAATTTTTTAAAGGAACCGGGACAGTTTTGGGGGACTACCGAGAGATTTCAATGGCCAAGAAGGTGGGTTTCAGGAGCGATGTGCAGTCCATGAATTAATTCCTCAACCTCATTTGAGAAGTACCTGCAAGGTGTGACTAAGGCAGCCGGCGGTTCTGTTGGTGAGTCCAACGGTGTTCAAGGCCTTGTGTGCGTACGCCTCTGGAGACATCTTCAGGAATTGTATGGTCACTTGGCTGGTCATGTTGGTGTCAACGAACATAGGCAAGATGGACTGCAGGAGGAAAGGGCGTTAAGATGAGGTCTTCCGACGTTGGGAGATGGGGACATGTATTCAGCAAAATACATTAGGATCATCTGGATAGGCACAGCTTCATAGGCAGCCATTACCTGACCTGACACCTGGAGGGCAGGTGGTGGTTGGTCTCCATCTCAGGGATGAGGAGGTGGAAGCTAAACCCTGAAGCACCATTTCAGGTCCTTCACTATTAAATGGAGAAGGTTCCCAGGCAAAGCTCCAAGAACTGACCCAAGGATCCAAGCTAAACCCTGAAGCACAACAGGCCAAAGGTGTTGTTCTGTTAAACAGAGAAGGGCAGAAGGCAATGCTCCAGGAAAGGATCCAAAAATGGATGGACAAGCCAAAGGCTTCCAATAGAGACTGCCAGTTCTTGAGTTTGATGGAGGAGAAGAAGGAAGGGTAGAGAAAGAAGTAGAAGAGCAGCAGGAGGAGGAAGAGAAAGAAGAGAAAGGAGGAAGATGAGAAGAAAGAGGTAAAGGTAGAGAAAGAGGAGGACAAGGAGGAGGGAAGGAGAAAGAAGAGGAAGTGGAGGAGGAGGAGGAGGGGGAGGAAGAAGAAGAAGAAGAAAAGAAAAGAAGGAGGAGAAAGTGGAGGAAGAGAAGAAAGAGAAAGAGGAGGACAAGGAGGAAGGGAGGAGGAGGAGAGAAAGAAGAGGAGGTGGAGGAGGAGGAAGAAGAAGAAGAGAAAGAAAAAAAGCAATAAAAAAGGAGGAGGAGAAAGTGGAGGAAAAGAAGAAAGAGGAGGAAGAGAAAAAATAAAGAAGAGGAGGAAAAGGAAGAAGAAGAGAAAGAATATGTAGAAGAGAAGAAGGAGGAGATAAAATGATATGATAGTCTTGTTTATTTATTTATTTATTTATTTATATCCCACCTTTCCACCAGTTTTGGGACTCACAGTCCTATACCTGAAAGGCATTCATGTTTGGCCTCCATTTTAAGGGAGCAGAAGGTGGAAGCGAAACCTTGCAGCACAGCAAGTCCTGCACTGTTCAATGGGGAAGCTTGGTCCCAAGGCAATGCTCAAGGAAGTAACCCAAGGATGGATGGGGCAAAAGTTTCACATAAACTGCCAAATCTCAGAGGAGGAGGAGGGAAAGGTCAACTCCGTTGCACAGTACCTGCACAATGATGCCTTTGGACCGGTATTCTATGTCCAACGCTCGTGAGAAGAAATCAACAAAGGCCTGGAAGGGAAGCAAGGAAAAGGTCACACAACGCTTTATAGCTCCCTAGGAATCCCCCATGGCCATCTTGTCCCACTGGTTTCCATGGTCCTACCATGTGGTTGTGAATCCCCACTCCATTTTATCTGCCCTTAAGTTATAAAACCTTTGCAGCAATCAATAAAGTAGTCCCTTTTGCTGAAGATGAGTTTCTGCATATTTGGATGTCTGTTGGGGAGGGACCCCTTTGAGCAAAGGTAAACTATTGTTGTAAGTTAACCCCTTCCATAGCTGATTCAAGGTCCAATTTCCCTTTTATTGTTATAAATAAAACTACATTTGGACCTTGCATTCAGGAGTTCTTGGAACTGTTATACACAGACTAAAGTCCCAACTGTAAAGTTACCTGAAGCCCTCTCGGTGCTTCCTATTGAGCTAAATAAATTCCCCCATTGAAGTCAATTGTGGGTGCCCTCCCAGGACCCTAGCATTTTGGGTAACGCTTTGGAATTAGGTGTCTATTTCCCTCACCTTGGTCGAGCTGTACAAAAGAGCCATCGGTCCGGGTCTCCGTCCCATTGTGGATGAGAGGTTGATGACAATCCCCTTCTTCCTAGAAAGAGAGCCATAGTGGAGAGTTAGGTGGCCACTTTTGGCTTCCCACGAAGCCATAAAATGCCACACTGGGACTTTTTGACAATCCATAAACAATCCAGAGGGACTCCCATGTTAACCTGTTGAAGATGATGCTAGACCACTTCATTGTCCACTTGTAACCTTTCTGTTCAGGATCAGCATCATTTTCTCTTTCCAGATGGGGAGAGGACAATATATGACTGAAGCACCAGGGCAGCTGCAGTCCCTTGGGAACTTCAAGGATTTAATTTTGTCCAGTGTTATTTTCATGCTTTAATCTTGTCAGAAGACCCAAGGCACCTTCCAATGTGGATTAAAACCAAGGACTTTATCATACGGGGGAAACTGGGAGTTTAAACAATTATTAACTCATGAAAATTGCACAACTGACATTAAAACGTGCTGAAAATGACATTGACGCAAATGCCATTATCCCGTGAAGAACCAGGGAATAACCAGGCAAGAAACAGCAAAAAGTCATTCATGGGAAAATTCTGGGATAATGGCACTTCAATCATGTTTCATCTCAACGTCGTGTGAAAACCATTTGTGCAATTGCACACAAGTGCAGGTTAATCACGGATTCTGCAAAGGATAACAGCACTGATATGTGAAAACCATTCATGCAACTGCAGGTTAATCACGGATTAATTACCGTTTATACTTCCAATTTCCCCCCGTGTGATAAACTCCTAGTACCTTTACCTTTAAAAATCTCCTTCCCAGCCTTCGCTAACCATTATCCCATTTGGTTTCAGACCCAGAAAACAAGGAGTTAGAATCACACTCTCCCAGAGTCTTTGGGAGCATCTACACTGTAGAAATAATGCAGTTTGACACCACTTTAACTGCTCTGGCTCCATTCTGTCTCCTACCTGGCAACCATCTGAGGAAGTATGATCTGCGTCATCTGCAAAGAGAAGGAAAACAGAGTATCTGTGTCCGGACTGTCCTTCTCAATCTCTATAATGGTGGGACCCTAAGGGGCCAAATTAGACCCATAGGAGACTTTGGGGGGACCATGCCCCACAAAACCAAAATAAAACCCCATTAATTGCTTGCAAATGCCCCGCTATGGAGTGCTACATACAGATGGTGCTACATGCAGAAACAAAACTGTGGTTGGCTCTGCACTGCAGAATTAATGCAGTTTGAGATCACTTTAACTGCCATGGCTCAGTTTGGCTCATTTGGTTGGCCAATAAAGGTATCGGTGATGGATTTTTGTTTGAAATTTGCTACCCTGAATGTTTTCTGCCATGGCTCAGTGCTATGGAATCTTGGGATTTGTAGTTTGCTGTGGCACCTGAGCTCTCTGAAAGAGAGCTCATCTTCCGTCGACCTTTGCACAAAATATCCATCACTCTTGAAGAAGGTCGAGCGGCAAATTTGGCTCCTGCACCCAATAAGGAGAGTTGGTCCCATCGCACCCACCTTCACGACCGAAAGCATGTTGCAATTCACTAAGTCGTCCACATACTAAAACAAGCAAAAAGAGACAGAGATCATACTGTTACGATAGTGTTATGGATCATGTTATGGACTATTATTTTTTAAAAAGTTTTTGCATTTACTGGAGAAATTAAGGTAAAATACGGTGATGTATGTGATGATGAGAGCCAGTGTGGTGTGACGCATGCTGACTCTGGAGACCAGGGTTCGAATCCTGACTGTGCCATGGAAATCCACCTTGGGCGAAGGCAGTAGAAAACCTCCTCTTAGGAAATCTTGTCAAGAAAATACCAAGAGCAACTGTGGTGTAGTGATTTAGATACTGGATTAAAACCCCATAAGACCAGGTTTGGATTCCCTGCACGGTCATGGAAACTAACAGGATGACATGGCAGCATGCCACACTCTCTCAGCCTCAGAGGAAGGTCATGGGAAGCTTCCTCTGAACAAATCTAGCCAAGAAAAACCCAATGGCCAATGTGGTATAGTGGTTTGAATGTTGGACCAAGACTCTGGGAAAGCAGGGTTCGAATCCCTGCTCTGTCATGGGAACCTATTGGAGGACCTTGGGCAAGTCACCCTCTCTCAGAGGAAAGCAATGGCAAATGTCCTCCTGAAGAAGGTTGCCAGAGGTCAGTGTCTACCTGAAAAGAAGAGTCAGTTACTAGGACTCTGTAAAAGGGTTGCCAAAAGTTGGGAACACAACACATGCAATGTATGCATCTGGCACGGGGAAAGACCTGTCCCAGCTGCCATTTTGGGAAAGACGGAATTTACCTTATCGACATCGGGGTGTCTCAGAAAAGTTTGTGGTACCTCCTGGCTCATGCCAACGTTGTTCACTGTGGAAAGGCCAAAAAGTACATGGTTATATTGGCAAAAGAAGGGAAAAAGTTTGGACACCTAAAACTAGCAGAACGTAGCCATTAAAGCAATGTCAACCTGCATTCATTCTGCAGCATAGAGGCAGACTCTTGTTGGAATTCTCTTGGCCAGATTTATTTTTCAGAGGGATTTTGCCATTGCCTTCCTCTCTACTGAGAGCCTAGGGTCACCTCTGGGGTATCTGTGGGTGACTGGAGGGATTCAAACCCTCATCCCTTAAAGACCTAGCCAACAATCAAACCCACAAAACTGTGCTGGCTCTCATCCTCAAATAGACTTCGATCTCCAGTATCTCCAGTATCTCCAGTAGGTTTTAATTTCCTTCTTCTGAGGCTGAGAGAATGGGATTTGCCCAAGATCACCCTTGGAGTCTCCTTCCTTGGAGTGGAGTCTCCTTCCTTGGAGGTCTATAAGCAGAGACTGGATGGCCATCTGTCGGGGATGCTTTGATTTTGAGTTCCTGCATGGCAGAATGGGGTTGGACTGGATGGCCCTTGGGATCTCTTCCAACTCTATGATTCTGTATTCTATGGTTTCCAGGGCTGAACAAAAATTTGAACCCTGGACTCCCAGAATCCAGATCCAGCACTCAAACCAACACATCTCACTGGCTCTGTCACTTTAGTCTACATCCTATAGTTGATCCCAACCAGTGCAGAACCATTGGCTCAATGGGATTTTCCTTACATGTCAGCTCACCAATCCATGATTCCCATTTTCATGACATAGTTTCTTTCCAATATATATATATATATATATATATATATATATATATGCCACCAAGAGGTAAAGACTCACCCAGAATGCCAATCTCCAAGCCTTGCAGAGCAGCCTGAATGGACTCATAGATTTCAGATCCCCCGGTGAAATCCGCCTGGATCACCTTGGTCCTTCGGCCATACTGTTCCTCTGGGAAACAAAGGTGAGAGAGGGATTCCTGAATTATCTCATTAAACAGGTAGCCAGCCTTGGAAAAGTGGGTGTTTCTGCATCCCAGAAAGAAAGAAAGAAAGAAAGAAAGAAAAAAAGAAAGAAAGAAAGAAAGAAAGAAAGAAAGAAAGAAAGAAAGAAAGAAAGAAAGAAAGAAATCCCATTGCTAGCACACATTATTCTGCCACTCCAACATTTCACAGATGAAAATTGGGAGAAGTGTGGCCAAGCCATATCAGAGTCTGGTCCAAAGGATGTGACCCAGGCAACAAGAGGCAAAAGTTATTAATGAGGAAGGACACACACAAAACTACTATTTTAATCAGAGAAACCCTGGGATTTGTGTACTATGCTTAGGAAGAGTTGTCATGAGCCACTCTAGGTGCTATATTGGGAGACTGCCAAGATATTAATTAAATCAAGACGTACAGCCCAAGAAGAATCCTTATTCCTTATTTCAACCTTCCTAGGCTCACCCAGGCATGGCTCCCACCTTACCAATTTTAGTAGCCACCCGCTTCAGTTTTTCCATGGAGCGACTGATGAGGACCACGTCAAGACCTCTCTTGGCCAGCTGCGGAGACAAAAGAGGGAGACGAAGAACTGAGGAATCCAAAAGACTTAATGTAATATATATATATTGAATAATTGAATAATATGAATTGAATAAGCCTACATACATATATATGTATGTAGGCTTATTCAATTAAACAAACAAGGAAGCTCTTTTTAACAAAGTCTTTTTTATGCCCATGTAGCCTCCCTATCCTCTTCCAGCTGCAAGGCTTTTAGCAGCATCAGCATTGGGAAGGAGAGCTGAGAAACACAGACTGTTCAGCAAACAACACAAGAGAGCTTGAGCTGGAAACGAATGGGATTCTCTTCTAGCTGTACATACTTGTGTGCCTGCCCACAACAGGCAAGGAAGACAGCAGCTGCCTCCAGAATCCCTTACTGAACAAGCATGGACAGCAAAACAGAGAGAGAAAAGGGGATAACAGATAAGACACCAGCTCCCCCCCCCCCAGCATGTTAAAGAAACATAAACCTATACCTTGACCTTGTTAACTGAGATATACCTGTATATGTAGAGAGGTATGAGTGTTGGACTGTGACTCCAGGAGACCAGGTTTCAAATCCACTTTCAGCCATGGAAAACCCACTCTCTCAGCTTTAGAGGAAGGCAAAGACACCCTCCCCCAGAACAAATCTTGCTAAGAAAACCCCATGATAGACTTGCCTTAGGGCCACCATGAGTTGGAAATGGCTTGAAGGCGCACAACAGCAACAACCACCACAACAAACCTCTCTCTATATAATATGCAAGACACTGCTCTTGCCCTGAGATTCCTCCTACTTACCTTGAGGACCAGAGGAGAAGACCCTCGCCCAGAAATTGGGGAACCCCTACTTATAAACTTATTTTATGACAGTATGCAAAGGGCTCTTGCAGACTAACTGCACAAAAGAAGTCGTAGTGTGAACTTTCATAGACATGGTTTCCTTCCTCCAGCTGCGTTGAGTCATGCTACAACTTCTTTCCCACAGTTCATGTCAAAGGTGCTTACAAGATCCCTTTGCATACTGAGATTCCCAAAGAACATGCTTACCTCTCTTATTTTATGAAACTCACTCACTGACTATTTAGGATGCTGCTTGAAGGTGGAAGAGTAATTGCTGATAATGACAGGTTTCAGAATCGCTGCTGGTTTCTTCATAGCTTGGGTGGAACAAGTTAAAACATATCTTACTTAATGTTGCCAGATCTCAGGGCCTTGTTTTCAGTCTCCACTTTTTCTGGGTCCATCTCCAGGCTGGGCAAATTCTCCCATTTCGACAGGCTCAGTTTTGGGCAAGAGCAAAGGGCTGTGTGCAGATTTTTAGCTCAGCTGGGAAAGCAGCAGTTTGCTACAATTTTGCAAATATTAATTGATTTGTTTCTACAACTTGCAAAGTCTCTTGGAGGGTGTCTTTGTAGTTATAGTTATTTAGCTTTCTTTCCCTGTCAATCCTGGGGACACCAGGGATCACCTTCTACTTTGCTCTACATCCATCTTCTTGCTAGAAGCAAGTGGACCAGATTCAATTTATTCATCTCCCTGAAGTGAGAAGGAATGATTCCCTCATTCGACCTTGATCCAGAACAGCCCCTTCAGCTAAGATTTCTTGCTTAATTTCCAAACAAGGACACATGATATCTGAATTTTGCAATAGCAGGTGGAGTTAGGATACGAGTTATCAAAAAGTAAAGAATTGGGAATCCTAAGGAATATTTAGCTAGGAAAGAAATATTTACCATAGTTATGAAAAGGAATGATAAATCCTGTGGGTTCGGTGTGGATAAGTGAAAAGTAGTGTGTAACAATAAGAGGGAGGAAAAATGTGTGTGATCAAAAGTGAATTACGCAGGAGATACTTAGGAGGTATTAATTTATATAATTATAAAATGTGAATTGATTGTGATTTGGAGATTAACATTGTGGAATTGGATTTTATTAAAAAAATATCGTTTAAAAATGTAAAAATTAATTATTATTATTATTATTATTATTATTATTATTATTATTATTATTATTATTATTTCTATCCCGCCTCTCTACTGAAGCAATAAATAAAGCCCGTCAAATAAATAACATCCATCACCCACTGCAGTTCTTTCCATGAGTTCACTCTTCAATGGACACACAAAATAAAAATATTGTTTTGCAATATGATTGTACACAGCAGGCCTGCTGCTTCTTTTCTTTTCTTCCTTCCTGGAAAATATAAACCAGCTCCTTCAATAGGAAGCGGATAAGATCCTTGGAGAGTTTGCTCACCTCGTGGGCATAGCCTTTTCCAATGCCGGACGTAGCGCCAGTGACCACTGCAAAAACAAGAGAAAGCACAAGCTATCAGCAAGATGAATCTCACCATGAGGAAGGCTAATCTTCACATCCTTCATCTTTGCATCACCCATCATGGGAGAAAGCAAAAATTTCTGCACAGTCCAGGAGAGATATTTGCACCTTGCAAAGTCTCTTGGGCCATTAATATTGCTCATAAAATACAAATGGTTTCTTGGGGGGGGAGGGGGGAACCACACATACATTTTTTGTGCAAAAAAATGTGTTTTATATGACCAGCCATGCTCACAATGCTAGGTTTCAGGAAACATGCGGTACAAAAGTACGGAGTGGGATGGAGACTTTGAGAAGGAGATTGAAAAGGCAGTAGAACCCTGGACCAGGTTTAGCGTCTAATAAAATTCAATGCTAGAACTACAAACTTAAATATACATGTAATGGGACATGTGTCTCAGTAATTCAACATAAAACCAGGGACCAGAATCTGATTTTGGAGAAAAGTTGGAAGGAGAACTGACAGTGTGAGAATTTCTTTCCTCAATAATTTGCAGGAAGGCATACCTTATTTTCCTGCATATAAGACTACTTTTTAACCTGCAAAATCTGTGGTTAAAGTGGGGGGGGTCGTCTTATACGCCGGGTATAAGGATAAGGAGGATAGAGGTGCTAAAACTCTATATTTTGACTGGAAAAATGGGGGGGTCGTCTTATACGCTGGGTCGTCTTATACGCTGGAAAATACGGTACACTTCTTCAGCTGCTTGGCTCATCCCAAACTTGAAGCATATCTGAACCACAGAGATGCCTTGATTTAAAAGTCACGCCCTTGAAGAGTAGATGTACACCCTGATAGTCCATGGTTTTTGGCACATTCAAAAAGACCGA